CACCTACAAATAAGGACGTTTGTTGACCGGGCAGTTGGAAGAAATCTCAACCCATCCCTTGATCCGTGCAACCAAATGCTGTTAAGCCCCATTGTAGCTCCTCCACTCAAATACCCAAGATTTTCTCCACCAACTTGCAAGGTTTGGCTTATAAATACCAAGTTCCATCAAGCTTCAAAGGCATCTCACTTGACATTTAAAATTCCAGCTTGTTTCCTCTCTAGAATTTACATTTCTAGAATTTGTTTTGTCTTTAATTTTGCTCAACATTCCTTGAATTATTTTTATTGCAATTCCTTTTGTTGTTATCATTTTCTTCAGATTTTGGTTCTCGATTTTAATTTAGCTATTGTAATTACTTCTTAAATTTAATATGATATTTTATTTCAATCCACTTCTTATTATTTCTATTTTTCATGTTTTTATGAGTAGCTAATTTGTTTTTCCAGACCTCTTATGAATGACTTAGTTCCCATCATTTTAATTACATCTATCAGATAGCACGGCGTTTACGTTCAAATTGCTTATCTTGATTGAGTTAATTAATCTAGTTGATTTTACTTGCTGGCCACTTGTTTAAATTACAACAGTTGAGTTTAATTCTGAAAAGGTTAGAGTCAACGAAGTTCATCAAGATAAAATGGGAAGTTACTTAGACATAAGAACTTAAACAAGATCCTAGAGATAGACTCTCTTACCCATTAAACGTAAGTTGGAGTTTTAATTACTTAGGATTCTTCTAGTATTTTACAGACATGTTTTAAATACTGGCCTAATCTTCTAAACAAACCAAAAGCGGTATGGAATAGGAGTTGAACCAGTTTGCAATTAGAGAGTAAATTTAGTGTGAGATTCTGATAGGTGTAATTCAATTCTCTTCGAATTAGTCAGTAGTATGAGGGTTGGTTTCAAAATTCTATTATTTTCGTGTGTTTTTCGTGTTCAACCAATCTCACCAATTTTTATCACAAACTCGATTGCTCATTCCAACAATTTGCAAAATCAATTTTAAAAGAAAACTAGTCCCTGTGGAGACGAACTTGGAATATTTCCAGATTATTACTTGTGACAGTGTGCACTTGCACTCGTCCCTCTTGCTATTAAGCAGAGGCACAACACCAGGCAACTCATTCTCAATCCTGAGTGAGTTATGGACTCCTGCCCGTGAGGGCTCGTCCTTTGATCTGTATGGGTGAGAGTGGCCCGAGTCGCCGACTCAACATTCCTACCATTTTGGGGACGAGACCGAGTGGGGAGCTGGGAACATAACTTCACAAGATGGAATTCACTCCTCCCCGACTTTAGGGAAGTAGGTGAGTGTTCCCTTAAATGCTGACTCCAGGATTTGAACAAGAGGCCCCACCCTCTCATTGGTCGAGAGGGACTTCCGATTATTGGTTGGACCATAGCCGGATTGTTCATTAGAGGAGCAGTGGTGTTTAAGGAGTAAGATGTAACTCAGGGGTAAAACGGTAATTTGACCCAAGTTGAGTTACGAACACTCCTGAAGGATTGACTCGTCATTAATGGTCATATATCCATGGACACGAAAACATTCTGCAGTGAGAATAGTGCAATTGCGGGTCTTTAGTGGAATGACCCGTAGTTAACGAATCTAGATTAACTCGGTCAATGAGTTTGACCGATTAATCTTGCATCGTTGGAGCTTCGGATCTGTAGGTCCATTAGGTCCCCTTGCTAGCTCATAACGGGTAATACGAGGATCAAGTTTTTGGAAGAATTTGAATTGTTCAAATTACTTAAGGGATTATATGTATATTGATACATTATAATATAMAGTTAATTCTAAATTAAAACTATATATTATGAGAGAAACTATTTGAATGAGATTCAAATAAAATTAATATGAATAAGATTCATATTAAAACTATAGCTTAAAAGTAATGTGCATAAGATGTACATTAGAACTATAGGTTATACGAGAGAAATGTTATAGAATATGATTCTATTTTTGTGTTAATTATTTATATATATATATATTAATTATTAATTATTAATTGGATTAATAATTAATAATTATTTATTAATTAATATGATTAATTAATAAATAAATTTTTATATTTTAATTATTATATATATTAATTATTTATATATATATATATATTATTAATATTATTACTAATATTAAACTCCCCTGCAAAATTGCAGGGGAGTGGGAGGTTAGTGTGACGTGGGGAGTTGCCCCACGTCACCACTTCTGTTTTGTTTTTGCAGTTCTGCAAAAACACAGAACATAGAAGAAGAACACCCAACCTGTTTTCTCTCGATCAAGAAGAACTCTCTCAAGCTCTCCCTCTCGTTCCAAACGATTGCTCCCACCAGCACGATCCCAAGACCGAAGAGGATAGCGAGGAAGACACAGTGGTGGTGTTCGAGGGAAACTCGTTGAAGAAACGTTCTTCAAATGTTCGAATTTCCCCTGTATTTTTCTTCTGTAAAATTCGATTTTGTATCCCGAAAATCAGCAACGAAAGTCCGCTTCCGCACCGGGATTCACATCCCTTCATATGTAACTTGCTGTTTTTTTTCTGTTTTAGTGCCTAGGTGTGAGATCGACGCAAAACTTAGGGGCGCGGTTGTGTGTAAGTAGATAAGGGGCATGTGCGTGCGTTAATTTGTGTTAGTTGGTTTCTAATGTGATGTTTTGTGATGTTTAATATTGATTTTGATACGCTATTGTGCTAGG